GGTTACCACTTTTGCTGCAAGCCCTTCACTCGAGGCGAGGCTCTAGTATATATTTGTCTCCTTAATTGAAGGAATATCATAAAGTGACTTAACCTAAGATTCATATATGAAAGTATTTATTATATTTAATGAATTGTTTCTTGAGAACCATCGTGATTATTGTTTTCAAGAGACTAGAGGTGCACACCTGTATCACTATTATTAACGTTGTCTGAAGGTATGACTTGTGATTGTTGGGAAGAATATTTTAATAAGTGAATGTACCTTATATAATCTACTGTCTAATTTGATGTTGTTGTGAAAATTATGAATTTTAATATGAGACTCTCGTCTCGACATAATAGAATAACAATTTTAATATAAAATAAAGTCTAAAAGATTTTAAAAATGAGAAATATGATATAACATTGATTTTATTGGTCGAAGAAAAAAAGTATACGAAATTCGTCATGGACATATATCAAATTACATGTTATTTAATCAATATCATGAGATAAAAATAGATGGCTAGAAAGGTTTGACAATAAAATGGAAACCAACATAAAATCCTGAATCTCATTACATATTTTTGGCCATCTTTTTCTCAAGAAATATCCACTCAGTTCTCTCTTTTTTCTCCGACAACTTTGAGGAACAAAACCTACAATATTTTGCTTGTCTTTTTTTTTTTTGGTTTTTTGTTTATAATTTGGTTATGTTCCAAAACCATGGATTCTCGTGATCATTTGTTCGCTTCCTTGGTTGCAAAATCCCCTGCTCCTAAGAGGGGCCCTTCAATCTGTTGAAGGTTTCTCCCCAACATCGATGTCTCCGGCTGGTTTGATTCGATTTAGTTTTAATTTCTCGCATAACTAGCTGGATTAATGCGACTCGTTCTCTCGATGTTTTGAACCCAACATCTCTTGCTCTTTTCGATTCAGGGACGTTTCCGGTTAACATTCCGATAAAATAGATAAAATGATTTGTTTCCCTTGTTTCTCCTCACAAAAGACCAAGGAGAGCACCAACAAAAAGGACCATGATGATTCTGACGTCGAAGAACTACAACCTCAACAATCTACTGTGTCTGGTACGTCGAGACAAAATCAGTGCACTGCACAATACATTATTTATATTCCATGGCTTCTAGAATCTGACAAAATCAGTTAGCCTAGCTGGCACCTTCTTCTTCCGCGAGCCTCGACGTTGCCCTTCAACTGCTTCAATTTCCTGCTCAACAGCCCCATCAACATTTTCCTTCAAAAAAATACCCAACCTGAATTCAATACGTATCCGGTAAGATCCGACCTGAATTTTGTTTGTCAATGATGTGATCCGATCTGAACGAGATACGACCTGAAGTCTATCCGGACCTGAATTAACCTAGTATTTAACTGTTTCAGACCTAAATCGTTTTAACCTGAATTGATATCGATCCGAACTGAAGTTAACTCGACCTAAACCCGAACTGAATCTGAATCCAACCCGAATCCAATTTTTTATATAAAAATCAATCTCAATTGAATCGGATCGGGTCAGAATCCGTTGAATTCGGATCACGTGCCCATCCCTAATTTAAATCTTTAATTTTAAAAAAATTAATACCTCGTCCCACTACAAATTTGTTACAATTATAGATTCAACTTCACGGTTACTGTTTACTTCACTAAGAAGATGGGAGCTACGTAATTAAGATTAGATCATCAGACAACAAATCTCAAAGAAAGGAGATTTATATGCTGATAAAGGTTGCCGTGACATGTAGAGAATCGTTTCAGATAAAGCTTTGAATTGGAACAACAAAACCATGAAAACAAGAGTGCGAGGAATCATTTTATCACCCCATGAATGAGACAGTAGAGATGGTGACTGCTCTCCAAAGTATCAAAATCCCCGGTTCTTTTCAACGGCAAAAAGATGCAATTTTAGCTTAGCATTTTGTAAAGTTCATAACAGAAGCAAGAGACTAAGGGTCCATTTGGTTTTAAAAAATATGTGTTATTTTTTTAATTTATTTGACAATACATACACATTTTGTAGACGTAACGTTTCGAATTTAATTTTTTTTAATCCCTCCTAATAAGTGGTTTATTTCATAATAACATCACATCTTGTGTTGTCTAACATATTACGAATATAAGTGTTCATTATCAAATACTCACACCAATTAATTATTAAAAACATTTATGAATTCTATTAATAGAATCCTCAAATTGGAATATTCTATTATATATTTGAGGAATTATAGTTTCATATTCGATACGAAGCTTCTCGTATTTTTTAAGCTAATATTTTATAAACATGAGGAATTATGCCTTTCTTATTTTTACAGCAGCTAAGATTTTTATTCGGTACGCATTATAATTTCACTAACCTAAGTTCACCTAAATATTAATCTTTTATAAATTATGGAGTTAATTGCATCTTATGTCCCTAAACTATGATCTTTAAAATTGGTCTATAAACTTTTGAAATTCTAATTTCATCCTCAAAATATGATACTCATTCTAAATTAGTCCTGAACATTCCAATTTTATCCTCAAACTATGACCCTTATTCTAAATTAGTCTCTAGACTTTTAAGCCTTCCAATTTCATCCCCAAATTCGTCCAAACATGTAATCACTTTTATCCATAATTTAACCTAAACTTTTTTTTTCAAAGATATAATATTATAACTTGACCTAACGATTTTATTAACATGGAGCGTGATTAGTATATACATATAACTTTGGATGAAATTGAAATGTTGAAAATGTTTGGGGACCAATTTAAAAATATTTAAAGTTTAGGTATTAGAATGAGCCAAAACTGATAGTTTAGGTACTAATGCATTAAATTTTTAATGAAGAGGTACTAAAATGGAATAAAAACTAAATATTAGATATAATTTTGAAATAAATTAAAAATTTAAATACTAAGATAGATCAAAACTGATAGTTTACGTACCAAACATATTGTTTACCCTAAAATTTATTTACTGTCATTACCTTTGATATGAAATTTACTTATGTTGTAACCGGTTAGAAAAATAGTGTGCATGATTCTCATATCTTAGCTGATGCACTTGGACGTCCAAAAGCATTTAGTATTCTAGAAAGTAACAATTGACATTAATGATACAAAAATAATTAATTTAAAGTTATAATGTATCAAGTAATAACTATATTCTAATAATGTTTAAGCAAATATTATGTTGCTGGTGTTGAAGACCTCTTAAATGTAATTCTCTCTATATCATGATGCTCGATATCATTTAAAAATGTTCAACAATCAACGTTCAAAAAGTAAAATTGAACTCTCTAATTTTCTTCATTCATCGTTACGAATCATTATTGAACGAGTCTTTGAGATTTAAAAAAAATATTTTTGTGTGTCATACATTAAATTGTATTTTTAAAATGTTCAAATACAATAAATATAATGTTAGTTTGTGTTATTCATAATCATGTGGTGAGAGTTTTTCCAAATAATTTATGAAGGATTTATATGAGGAATATAAGTCTAGTTTAATAATATTAACTGTCACACTCCGGAAAGAAAAAGAAAAAACCTAAAGAATAAGTTACTAAGAGAGATAGAAATAGAAAAAGCTATATGGACAGATTATATGTATAAAAAATATTAATTTGCTTTAAAATTTTTGTTGAGTATATTTTATTACGTACATTAGACATTAAAATTGTAATATTTTTGGGGTAAATTATGCATTTAATATATAAACTATCAATTTAGATATGTTTTTATTACCTAAACATTCATTTCTTTCAAAATTATATTTAAAGTTTAGTTTTGGTTGCATTTTAGTATCCGCCGTTAAAAACTTAATGCATCTAGCACCTAAACTATTAGTTTTGATCCGTTTTTATCATTTAAACATTCATTTTTCCAAAATCAAATCTAAAGTTTAGTTTTTGTTGTATTTTAGTATCCATCATTAAAAACTTAGCGCATTTAGTACCTAAACTATCATTTTTGATATTTTAATACCTAAATTTTCAATTTTTTCAAAACATGGCGACGGGGTACTAAAATAAAACAAAACTAAACTTTAGGTATAATTTTCAAAAAATTGAAAGTTTATGTATTAAAACGGATCAAAACTGATAGTTTATGTAGTAAATGTGTAATTTACACTATTTTGGCTCAAGGGCTACTTTTGTTCTTGTACTAGACTCAGTTTATCATTTTCGCATCTATGATATTTTTACATCAATTTAACCCTCGAAGTTGTTTTCCATCATCCTAAACCTTAAACCCTAAACTATAAACTCTAACCCCTAAACCTTAAGTCATAAACCCTAAATAATAGTAAATATTTTAAACATTGTGTAACTAACCAACTTCGAGGGTTAAATTGATGCGAAAATTCAATAGGGGCGAAAATGATAAAATGAGTCTAACTCTTGAGCCTAATTTTTGTTTTGTTGAGTTTTGTATTAAAATTTGGTGTCTACAAATTTTTTGTTCATGTATTTGATAGCTTTATTCGTGGATAGCTTTTCACGGCGCTCGAGTCTGATTTGCGATTTGTCGGTGGTCTTTCAATAGCTTCATCCCCTTTTGTGGTTCGTTTGTCGATACGATCAGATATATTTGTATCTATCTTTGTTCGAACTTTTTGATTAGATTTTAATCTTTTATTGTATGTCCTTATGTGATCTTAAGTTACTAGTTTTGTTTCAGTGCATATAGAAAATTATCCTAATTATGTTCTTAATTTATGATTATGATTGTAAATATTTATTGTAATTTTGAATATTTTCTATTTTGAATAAATTTAGTTATTTCTGTAAAAAAAAATGGGTGTATACATTACTTTTATCTAACAATAATCGTGTCAAGCATCCACCTTGGATGCGTAATTTAGCATAATCGAAGAAGGATAATTTGACTAAATTGGCACAAGAACCCACCTGCTTTCCAAAAGAATCAAATTCCATTGGCATTGTTACTTCTTCTACCCACAGCTACTATAAATTCATCTTGAGTTTAATGCTAAAAGCACCAGTTAAACACAAGCATTCACATAAAATAATATAATTTTACATACATATGGCACTTATACCTGCTTACAGGCGACCCGAAGCAGGCGACCACATCTACTGTCGAAGACAGGGAGGACTATACGATCACCATGGTTTGTTTCTCTTTTTCTGTTTAATCAATACATATATTGTCATACTTCCTTCGTATCCTCTTCAAAGGCAATACTCTCGCAATCACTCTTTATCTATCGGAATTCTTTAAAGTTTTCAAAGGATACTTTTTCGGAGTTCTTCAGAGTCATATTTATTATCTAACAACTATTTTTGTGTCCCTAAACCTGGCCGTTACAACTGAATTAGGATAGTCTCACTGATCACATAAACAATTTACGAGCGAAATATGTTTAATAAATCCTTTTAAATGGTGTCAAGGGATCACAATGGTGTCGGCGGTATCGCACACCACAATACGATTAGGGACGAATCAAAGAAAAACAAAAAACAAAGGGTGGTTGAGAGAGAGAGAGAGAGAGAGAGAGAGAAACAATTTGGTGTGAGTTTTTTAAAGCTGAAATGGGGGAAAAAGAAACCATAGAAAAATTAAATGGGTTCGAATGCTTAAAAAATATGGTCTAATTATAGTGCAAGCCCCAGCACTTTTAAAAAAATTCAATTAACCCCATTTGGAGTGTGACATTCTGTATTATCATACGGTCCACGGATAACCATCATGACCTAAATCGGACACCAAAAATAAAGGTCATTATATATAAACCCCTTGTACAAAATAGAGGGGATTTCTTATTTTCCAACAATTTTCATATTGGTACAATGATGAAAAAAAGTACACATAACATTTAATTAAATAATCACTTTAACTCCTATTTTTTTCTTGAGCATTTGGCCCACAACATTACATTTGGCAAAAACGCCCATATGGATGGAAATTGTTAGTAAACAAACAATCAATGTTCCAGAAAAGATGTCTTTTTACCCTAAAATGAAAACGTTGGGGGCCAAAATACTTCAAAATAAAAGAAAAAGAGCTAAAGTGACTATTTAGTTAAAAATTAGAGATCGTTTTGTCCTAAAATGAAATGTTGGAGGGACAAATGCTCTAAAAAATATGAATTAAATGACTATTTAATCAAACGTTAGAAATATTTTTTAACGTAATGTTTTTTAGATTTCTAAAAGCCGGATAACCTTAACAACCTATGATTCTACAATAAACAATCGATTCTTCGCCTAAACTATAAGGGATGAATCATCTCCAATCAACATAACATACATGGTTACCATCAATACATATACACACATTTGGATGTTTACGACTAATCCCTGCAGGAATATATGTGGGCGACGACATGGTGGTTCATCTCCAAGGAAAAGGAAAGAAACTTGGTGCGCCATCTGAATGCAACAAATGTGGAAACAAGCGATTCATCAATGGCGAAATAGCCAAAGTATGCATCGATTGTTTCCTCCAAGGAGAAACAGTTGAGATCTATGAGTATGGAGTTCCTTTATTTATAGTCACTACCAGAAAACTCGGCACCTGCTCTAGCGTCCCGTCCAAGCCTCCCCATGAAGTTATCGAGGCCGCCGTCTATTACCTCGAAAAAGGGTTTGCCCCCTACGACCTGATCTCAAACAATTGCGAGCACTTCGCCGTGTATTGCAAGACAGGAAGGGCCATAAGCCTCCAGGTTGTGCGCCCTATTGTTAACCCATGTAATATAATGTAATAAATTTTTGTTTGGTTTTGTATTAAAAAACTCTACTAATATAGTCCTAAATAAATTAAATATATTATGTCAAATTGTGCACATATTTGATGCTTTAAACAATGATAAATATATCAAGTCAAACGTTTTTGTATGATCCAACAATAAACGTTTGAAAATTATTAAACTATTATATTTAAATGAAATTATAATAAAAAATAGTAAAATAAAATAACTATAAAAAATAATGAATAATTAAAAATATGATACGTGAAATTCAAAACTTTGATAAAATATTGAGAGAGATTAAATATTCTAATTTCAAAATACGAATCTAATAAATATTTAAATTGAAAAATTCAAAATGTCAAGACTTAATTTGATAAATATTCAAATTGTCAGACCTAAAATGAAAGACTAGGACCCTCTCGAACCTTATTTGTTTCGGTATATATACCATTTGATTCGAAAAACTTTTAATCTTTTGATATTTAATGTTTAAATATTATTTGCAGACATCGTGCTCAAACTCGAAATCTGTAGAGATAAAACTATTTTTCTAGTTTTCTGAAATCATTTAGTACGTATTATAAATTTAAAATTTATATTAATTAAGATGATGATGTTCTGATATTACTTTTGGTATCCAAATAAAATGATAAACATAGAGTGTTGGTTGTTGAACATTGAACAAACGTTAAATGAAGATATTCACAAACACTAAATGAACGAATAAATATAAATAACTTCAAAAATAAATAAACGAACAAACATAAATAACTTCAAAAATAAATAAACGAACACGAATATAATTTGATTGTACAAAGAAAAGTGTGTATAAGCTTTTCATTGGTATAATTTGAGGTTCATTACTTTCAAAATGACCTTAGAGATGGAGAATTTCAACATGACACCATTCGATGATGAAATTACATTGAGGCTTAGTACATTCAAGGGCAAGCCCTTTGCAAGGGTTACCACTTTTGCTGCATGGAGCATTACCTTTTGTCTTGTGAACAAAGGCGACCGGATGCGGATGAGCTTCGTACGGGTACGTTTTCCCTAACTTGATGTACGGGTACCGCCCAGAAGCGCATTTCGGATGAGCGTAAAAGTTGCACACTTTGCAGCGGTAGAACCAGCGCTTCGGGTCGATTTCTTCTTCGCAGATGTCGCAGTATATCTGATCTGCATCGCGTTGGTAAGTCAGATCGAGAGGGTGCTCGTGGTGCTTATGTTTTACTACATTCGGTAACAAAGCGCAGTCGAAGTCCAATGCAAAGTTGCAATCGGAGCAGGAGTATAAGGCCTCGTTACTGAAACCGCAAGCACTGCATTTGCTTCGCTTGCTGAAAACAAGGGGATGCTCATGTGATTCGTGTTTGAGGATGTTCGACAACGAACCGCATCGAACGTCGAGGTTGAAATCGCACTGCTCGCAGCTGTAGGTGAAGCCGTGGCATCGTTGATGACAACCGTCGCAGAAAAACAAGCCCCCAAAGCTCGGATGCTTCTCGAGAAGTGTCAACGGGTGCGAGTGAAGAGGGTGCTGCTTCTTCCTAGGCAATTCGAGGCATGTTCCATGGAGGAAAATGACACATTCTTCACAACTGTAGAATTGTTCCATAATGGGTCTCATGCAGCAATCACAAAGCTTATAATCATTTACCTTTGCGTTCATGGTTAAATTGTGTGGATGGCTAAAATGCTTGACCACCATAGCTACCATATCGGCTTCACCGAGATCGTTGATCGAATCGAAGAATTCGTCCCCTTTGGTTTTTATCACAGAAACAGAATTCGCCACTGCACAATTCGAATGAACAATGAAATCGCAGCAAAAGCAACCGTAACCACCGTACTTTCTGCTCACTTCGTCATGACAGATACCACAACGATGGTTACACGAATCGCTAATTCGTTGAAGCAAACTGAAATGTGTAACAGGATGACAGTGGTCTCTGATTTCTATGGTGTTGGGTAAAAATCTGCATTCTTCATGGACCATGACTTGGCACTGAGTACATAAGTAAGGGAAACGGTCGCCCTCGATGCCGCAGGTGTCGCATATAAACGAGAGTGGCTTCATCAGGTGGATGAACCGGTGTCGATGATTTTCGGCTTCAACGATGCATCGAGGAAGCGAAGCGCATCTGATGTCGAGATCGAACTTGCAAGTCGGGCAGTGATAAACAAACCCTTGGCATGTTCTGTGACAAAAATCGCAGGCGCAGCTCGAATAATACGGTGGACGATTCGTCAAAAGAATAAGAGGATGTTCGCGATGATACGGGTGTCTAATCTCGGGGGACAACATCAAACACTTCTTATGAAGGAAGAACTCACACCGAGAGCAACCGTAACCAGGACCGGAAATCACTTCCTTGCATCCCAAGCAACAAACACTTCCATCAAGCTTTTCTATGAAAACCAACTGATGCTGGTGGCTGAAACGCTCGAGCTCGATAAACTCCCCGGTCAAACACGGCAGAAGCAGAGCACACGGGACATCAATATCGAAATCGCAAGACAAGCAATGGTAAACAAAGCCGTTGCACGATGCATCACAGAAATCGCAGAGACACTCAACGTATCGAGCAGGGGGATTAGACAGCAGAACAAGAGGGTGATCGCGATGGAACGGATGGTTTATCTCGACCGGCAGGTTCGCACATATCTCGTGAAGCCGAAACTCGCATCTATCACAACCGTAACTCGGACCCAACACCGGTTTCTCGCAGCCCGAGCAAAGAACGATCTCTTTGCCTTCATCAACATGCTCTTTGGAGAAGATCAATGGATGCTTATGGCTAAAGTGCTGCAGATTCATGTCCCTCTCCATTAAGTACACCAAAGATTATCAAAACAAGTGATGCATTTATATAATTAAATAATGGGCAGATCTTTGATTAAGTTGATGGATTAAATATTGATTTAAGTGTGGAATTTTGTAGAATTGACTGATTAAAATAAAGACTAGTTCTACTTTTATATGGTTACTTGAACCAGAAGGTTGGTTCACAAGTTCTTTTCAAGGAAACTTTGTTCAATATTTTATACAGGTATTGAAAAGTCTACTTCCAGAGAGGAAGTATATAGTTAAAATTAAACTAGATTTATACTTTTTTAAATTTTTTAGGGTAAAGTACACAACTGGTCCCATGACTATAATATATTGCTTTATTAAGTCCCTTGACTATTAAAAGTTACAAAATGATTCTCCGACTATAGAGTGTTGCTTTGTTGAGTCCCTCGACTATTAAAAGCTACAAAATGATCACCCGACTATTCATTATGTTCTAAACTCGTCATTTTTCGTTAGAAAATTGACGGTATTTTGAGCCGAACGTTAACCTGTTTGACTGTGATATGATAAAATATGATCCTAGAATCTCAAACGACTATCATATCTCATCTATCATATTAACGTCCAGCTTAGGCAATTGCTAATTCTTTAATGAAAAAGGATGGATTTGGAGCATAATAAATAGTCGAGTGACTATTTTGTAACTTTTAATAGTCAAAGGACTTAACAAAGTAACATTATACAATCGAATAACTATTTTATAACTTTTAATAGTCGAATGACTTAATGAAGCAGAACCTTATAGTTGGAGGACCATTTGTGTACTTTTACCCAATTTATATGATTCGTGTGTTTGTGTATGTAGTTTATGCATATAAATATTATTAATTACTTTTAATAAAATTATATGTAACATCTTTAATCTAATCATTTTCAATTAATCATATAATCGAGATTTTTTTTAAAAATATATATATATATATATATATATATATATTAATATATATATATATATATATTAAAAAATCATTGATAATGTTTTACTTTATTTTCCTATAAAAAGGTTTTAACTTTAACGAAAATCTTACAAATTTATGTGAAAAATAAGTAATTATAGAGATAACATCTAAATATGTTAAAGGTTCAAGTATTATTTTAAGAGTAAAATATACCAAATACCATCAAACTTTAGGCACTATATCGTTTATACCTTTGAACTTTCAATTTTACCAATTATAACACTAAACTTTGATTTTTATATCATTGGATTGTTAAATCGTACGGATCAAAATGATGTCGTTCTGATGAGGTGTTGGTAGCTGTTAGCCACGTCATCATGCTGTTAGCGATTTAAAGGTTCAGTGTTATAATTGACAGAATTAAAAGTTGAGCAGTATAAAAGATATAACGCCTAAAGTTCGATGAATTCTGATTTCCCTATTTTAAGATTGATTATTTTATACAATCAAATTCGTTTCATTTTTTTTATTTGAAACATTTGTTTGTTTCTAATTTATGTTCAATTTTAATGCTAACTATTAATCTAACGATTGTAAAAAAAACTAAAATAACATTTTAATTTAATTATTTCTAATGTTTTTATTATTCAAATTAATAAAAGTATAAACATAAAAATATTAAATTTTAATTTTTATTTTTTTCTATAAAATCCTAGTCAAAATACCGTTACAAAATTTGTTAATATTCATGTAGAACAATTACTCTTCCAATTTTTTAATTATTTTTCAGTTTTTGCAATGTGAGATGGCACTGTGCAATTTGACGTTGTCCCCAACGATTACTCCATCTTCTTCTCCCTCCTTCACTCGAGGCTCTAGTATATAATATTTGTCTCCTTAATTGAAGGAATATCATAAAGTGACTTAACCTAAGATTTATATATGAAAGTATTTATTATATTTAATGAATTGTTTCTTGAGAACCATCGTGATTATTGTTTTCAAGAGACTAGAGGTTCACACCTGTATCACTATTATTAACGTTGTCTGAAGGTACGACTTGTGATTGTTGGGAAGAATTTTAATAAGAATTTTAATAAGTGAATGTACCTCATATAATCTACTGTCTAATTTAATGTTGTGAAAATTATAAATTTTAATATGAGACTCTCGTCTCGACATAATAGAATAAAAATTTTAATATAAAATAAAGTCTAAAAGATTTTTAAAATGAGAAATATGATATAACAATGATTTTATTGGTCGAAGAAAAAAATTATACGAAATTCATCATGGACATATATCAAATTACATGTTATTTAATCAATATCATGAGATAAAAATAGATGGCTAGAAAGGTTTGACAATAAAATGGAAACCAACATAAAATCCTGAATCTCATTACATATTTTTGGCCATCTTTTTCTCAAGAAATATCCACTCAATTCTCTCTTTTTTTCTCCGACAACTTTGAGGAACAAAACCTACAATATTTTGCTTGTCTTTTTTTTTTGGTTTTTTGTTTTATAATTTGGTTATGTTCCAAAACCATGGATTCTCGTGATCATTTGTTCGCTTCCTTGGTTGCAAAATCCCCTGCTCCTAAGAGGGGCCCTTCAATCTGTTGAAGGTTTCTCCCCAACATCGATGTCTCCGGTTAACATTCCGATAAAATAGATAAAATGAATTGTTTCCCTTGTTTCTCCTCACAAAAGACCAAGGAGAGCACCAACAAAAAGGACCATGATGATTCTGATGTCGAAGAACTACAACCTCAACAATCTACTATATCTGGTACGTCAATTTTTTAATTAACTTTTAATAAATGATCGAAAATGATTTGATATTTTCTTTTAAAGGTGACTGCATGAATACTAATACGAATGAACACAAACATGATTAGGTTAGATATCGCCATTAAATGAACAGAACATTAAAACTATTGCATGGGACATCATGAATTGTAATAATGTTATCAGTAGGTCAACATTATAACATTATCCATTTAATTGTTAAAACTACAACATAAATTGTTTATATTATTTTTAAGGTAAACTACATAAGATACCATTAAACTTTAGACGTTGTATTGTTATACCATCGAACTTTCAATTTGTCAATTATAGCATTGAATTTTGATTTTTGTTTCAATTATACCACTGAACTGTTAAATCATTAACGACACGATGACACGACTGACAGCTGTCAACATGGCTAACAGTCGTCGACGTAGACTCCTCACCAAAATGACATCATTTTGATCCGACTATTAACTATTTAACGGTCCAGTGGTATAATTGAACAAAAATCAAAGTTCAATGTTATAATTGATAAAATTAAATTTTAGTATTATAAATGATACAACACCTAAAATTCGGTGGTATATGATGATGTACCCTTGTTTTTCAGTTACATAATCAAGAGTCATGCGAAAATACAATTAATCATATTCAACCAATAATATCACTTTAATGACCCCCTAACAAGCCCTCTGATTAAATGATTCAATTGCAATTTAGTCCCTCTAAAAATTAATACTTCAATTTAGTTATTGTTAGCTATTTTGACACTTTTTAATTTTATCTCGACCTCTCAACATAGCATTCCTGGCTTCACCCCTATTCAAGAAGACTCAACGACATTATAAAAGTAGAGGAATCAAACTCAGCCAAATTAAAAGAGAAGAATTAAATCCTAAATTTCAGCTTAATAGGGAATAAATCCACAATTAAACCATATTTTTGTGAAAACCAGAAACAGAACATAAGGAGACACCTCCTCTTCCTCCTACAACTGCTCCAGCTGACTATGACAACAACAGTTCGATCAAAGCATTCAACTTCCGTGAGTTAGCCTCAGCCACCAAGAATTTCAAGCAAGAAAGTTTGTTGGGTGAAGGTAGTCTCGGCAAAGTTTACAAGGGAACCATTCAGGATCAGGTCCGTTTTTTACATCCCAACTTTTCGTATATTCGAAGGATCACGTGTTTGTATCGTACCCGGATACGTGTCGGACACGAATATCGCACCTCGGATTATGTTTTCTAATGATTTTGTTTATTTTAATTTGGACAAAACAAAAATATAGGATGTTGCTGTGAAACAACTTGATAGGAATGCAATGGAAGGGAGCAATGAGTTCTTTGTGGAAGTAGGGCAGCTGAGTTTACTACAGCATGCGAATTTGGTCAGTCTTGTCGGATATTGTGCTGATGGGGACCAGAGGCTTTTGGTTTATGAGTACATGCCAGGGGGTTCCTTACAAGATCATCTCCATGGTACATGTTCTTTTCTCTTCCATTTTTGGGTTAATTTCACCTAATATCCCTAAATTATCGTCTAGGTCGGTCCATATGTTTCAAAACATTCTGATTGATCCTCCTCAAGTATTGCATCAGTCAGTTCATTCTATCAGTCTGGTTGTCAGTTTAGTTGTTAAATGTCGGTTCAGATTTGTAAAAAAAAAACAGACACTGCCCTAAAAAATACTTAGATTAATAGTAAAGTTGACGAAAGGACTTGATTGACATGAATATGATAATTAGAGGGTTCAATTAGAGGGACCAATTTAAAATAGAACCGTAGTTTAGAAGGGATTAGTATAATTAAACCGATATTTCATACTAACATTTTCCGGTTACTTTTACCGAATATCCCCAAACTATCGTCTAGGTTGCGAATTGGTCCCTATACTTTAAAATATTCTGATTGATCATTCTCAATATTGCATTAATCGGTTCCGTCTATTAGTATGGTTATCAATTTAGTTGTTAAATGTCGGTTCAGATCTGTAAAACAAATAGATATTGTAATCCAAAATACCTGAACTAATAGTAAAGTTGACGGAAGGACTTGATTGATATGAAATTGATAATTTGAGGGCTCAACTAGAGGGACCAATTTAAAATATAACCATAGTTTATAGACATCTGATATAATTAACCCAACATTTCATAGTAACATTTTCCGGTTACTTTCACTGAATATCCGCAAACTATTGTCTAGGTTATGAATCGGTCCATGTACTTTAAAATATTATGATTGATCATTCTCAATATTGCATCAATCAGTTCCTTCTTTCAGTCTTACCGTAATACCAATTCCAATCTATAAAAAAAATAGAAAATATCATCGAAAATGCCTGAGCTAATAGTAAAGTTGACAGAAGGACTTGATTGATACGAAATTGACAATTTGAGGGCTCAATTAGAGGGACCAATTTAGAAAGAATCATAGTTTAGAAACATATGATATACTTAACCCGATATTTTATACATGTTTCGTGTTGATATTTTTCACGCAGGAGATAAGCAGCGATTAGATTGGGTGACGAGAATGAAAATAGCACACGGGACAGCACTAGGGCTACAATACTTGCATGAGAAGGCAAAGCCTCCTGTAATATACCGTGACCTCAAGTCCTCAAAGGTTCTTTTGGACGACGAATTCAACCCGAAGTTGTCCAACATCGGGCTCGACAAGCTCGGGCCCCCGACCGACAGCAATATGCTGGTGCAGTCGAAGATAAGGGAAAACAATGGTTACAATGCCCCGGAGTGTATAAATTCGGGTACCGTTAATGCGCATACGGATGTCTATAGTTTTGGGGTTGTTCTGTTAGAGATAATATCCGGCAGAAAAGCTCTGGACACTTCCAAACCGGAGGAAGAGCAAATGTTGGTTAATTGGGTAAGTACATTGCTGGATTTGTCCGATTGAATTTGATTATAGGAAATCGGGTTAATTTCGAGTCGAATCAATTTAAGTTTTAAATTTTCTTGGATTACTTTGAATTCATATAGTTTTATCGTGGGTCGTTTTTAGTTTAAATCATTTCAATTTTTGGGTAAAGTACACAAATAGTCCCCGATTATAAGATATTACTTTATTGAGTCCTTTGACTATTAAAAGTTACAAAATGGTCACTCAACTATTCATTATGTTTCAAACTTGTCTTTGTTCATTAAAAAATTAATGGTCATCTGAGCTAGACATTAATATGATGGTTGAGATATGATAGTCATTTGAGTTTATGAGATCAGATTTTATCATATTTGAGTCAGTAGGTTAACGTACAACTAAGATTGCCGTCAAACGAAAAAGGATGAGTTTGGAACATAATGAATAATCGGGTGACTATTTTGAAACGTTTAATAGTCAAGGGACTCAACAAAGTAACCCTATAGTTGAAAGATAATTTTATAACTTTTAATAGTCAGTGAACTTAATAAAGCAATATTCTATAATCAGGTGACCATTTATGTACTTTACCCTTGTATTTTCAATCCAATCATTTTAGATTCGGGTCACTTTAAGTTTTACACTTGGGTTCAGATTATTTAGGGTTTTGTTATTGAAGTTTGACACCAAGGGCATGGCAAGAGATAGGCAATGGCCTTGGTTCCCACAAAATGGGATAATTTCACTTTAGTCCCTTCAAAACTCATAAATTTATACATTAAAGTAGCGGTAAAATTGCACTATGACCCCAAAAAATAATAATTCAATCGTACCCCAGATACATGTGCTATCCTCACCTTTATTCAACACTAGCGTCATTTCAAATTCAGATCAAATAATTATTTCATATTTAAATTGTATTAGATTTTTAAATTCGAGTCGATTTTCGAGTTCGAAGTAATTCGATTAGTGTGTGATTGGAACAGGCACAACCAATATTCAAGGAACCAAAATATTTCCCACAAATGGCAGATCCATCAATGAACAAAGAATTCCCAGAAGGAGGATTGAATCAAGCTGTAGCAATGGCGGCCATGTGCGTGCAAGAAGAAGCCTCTGCCCGACCGTTGATAAGCGATTTAGCTTCCGTCTTAAGTTTCCTCTCCGTCGCCAACCAAGGAAACAATATCCCCGAAGGTCTCTCTCCTTCCGTCTCATCCAAATTGAAGGCCCTCTCCGGTAAGATTCAAGTCTCCGACGACGACGATGACGAGGGAGAAGATGAAGCTTCGGGGAACTCGGACGAGGGCGACGAGAGAAGCGATAACGACGACGATGAAGACGACGGTTACAATGCATCGTTGACAAGCAGCAGCAATGCCGACAGGAGTTTAGATCAACAACAGAGTCTAAAGTCCGACCGTTCTCTCAGCCACCGGAGTAGCAGGAGATCGTCGAGTTCGTTAGGCAGTAGCCGTAAGAAATCGAGAAGTGATTTGTCATGCGGCGACGAAGAGGAGGAGTTGAGCCGTAAGGGCAGCGGCAGCGACGCATCCAAAGGTAATCCGGAAGACGATGACGACGAAGGCAACGCTTCATCAACCGACAAATTAATCGAAGAAAGCCGAAACGACAGCGTGAAATCGGTTGACGAGACGGGAGACTCTCCGGGAAAGAAGAGCCGAAAGAAATCGAAGGACCGAAGGAGTAGCAAGAAGAAGAAGAAATCGAAGGACGAAAATGATTCGTCAGGCCGTAAGAGCGGTTCCGCGAAAAAGAATCATCGGAAAGCTAAGAAGCATAGCGATAACGACGATGATTCACCCGGAGGATCACAGCATGAAAACTGAAGCAAAATTGTTGGAGGAACTTTCCTATACAAAGGCCATAACACAAGTAGTAACCCTTTTTTCAAAGACAATTATACATAATTTTATGTTTTCTTTTCTTTTCTTTTTGGTTTCATGTGTGAGTTTATTGTTTCTGATTTTATTTTTACTTTTAATTTGCCTAAAAAATTATCAATCACGAAAAGCTCCATCTAAATTAACAATTGTATTCATTATAGAATGCAATAAACCAGCAGACTACCTTGCCAGAATTGCTACGCCTCATTCCCTGGAGCTGATTCGTCTATCCCTCCCTCTAGTCGACGTGATCTCCCTGTTGGAACAAGACTCCATTGCTGTTTGTTGCATAAGTTTTGTAGCTTCTACTTTTCAATTAAAAAAAAAATTGTAATTTTTGTAAATTTCTTAGGTTAAATTTTGAATCTCATTTTTTTGGGTAAAGCAACAAATGGTCTACGACTATAGGATGTTGCTTTAGGGAGTCCCTCGTAGTCAAGTTACAAAATAATCTCTCGACTTGAGGGTGTTGTTTGTTGAGTCTCTAGACTATTAAAAGTTACAAAATGATCAACTGAATATTCATATGTTCCAAACTTATCATTTTTCGTTAAAAAAAGTATGATCGTCTAAGCTGAACATTAACATATTAATCTTTTGAGATTATATGATCAAATTTTATCATATCTAAGTCAATATATTAACGTCCAACTCATAGTGTAGTCAAATTTTTATTAGAAAATAACGAGTTAGGAACATATGAGTAGTTGAATGACCATTTTGTAACTTTTAATAGTCAAGTGAATCAACAAATCAATACCCTATAGTTGAGAAACCATTTTATAACTTTTAATAGTCGAAAGAATCAACAAAAAAAACAACCTATAATCGATGGACCATTCGTGTACTTTACTCTTTATTTCTATAGTATTCTTGTAATTCCTTGTAATTACAATTTTTATGCAATTACATTGTGATGTCTAAATACACCCCAAGTATGCTTCATACTGTAATTTGTAAGAAGAATTTCTAGTAGGTTCAGATATGGGGAAAATCCAAAAAAGAAATTTATAAATGGCGATATCAATAATATCCAACTTTGAGAAAGAAAAACATAAATGGTTGTCCCTTGTTCCCATATCTAATGGGGTAAGGGGGAGGTAAGATAATAGGCTGCCCCCAACACCAGGTTGAAAGCAACTTCCGTAGAAGACCTCCGAATTATGAAATGCCCTCCGTGGGACTCGATCCCACGACCTCAAGGTTAAGAACCTTGTGCTCTACCAACTGAACTGGATAGTCATCTCAGAAAGAAAAACATAAATCTGTCTAAATTAAACACAAGCAAAACCATAAAATGTAGTTCCACACAACAAGCTTCAAGCTTGTTGTAAATAAATCATGGATAATAAAACATTAAAATTTCAAAAGGTCTCCAACAATGGGGGACTATTGTGAAGTTTTGTGGGCCATGCTATTCCATTAACGATCTTCGTTCTCTTCTTTCTCCTCTTCCTCTTCCTCTTCCTCTTCCTCCTCCTTTTCCACATTATTATTATTATTGTCGTTGTTATTATTGTTGTCTGAAAAAAAAATCAAAGCACATGTTAGCTTTCAAATGGAACAAATAAAATTAATATGAGTAAACTGCATCAGATATCATCAAAGTTTAGGCGTTGTATCGTTTATACTATTGAACTTTTAGTTTTGTCAATTATAACACTGAATTTTGATTTTCGTTTCAAGTATACCACTGACGATGACGTGATTGACGGCTGAAGACTGTCGATATAGACACATTACCAAAACGAAATTGTTTTGATCCAACTGTTAAAGATATCAAAATTTGGTGCCATGATTAACAAAACTGAAAGCTCACAGTAATATAAATGATACAACGTCTAAAGTTCAGTGCTATGAAAACTTACTCTTTGCATTCATTGCTTGAAACATTCTTAGATGAGGATCAACTGGCAATCCCATAGCTGCATACGAAGGATCGTACACCTTATTCTCGATTATTTTGGGCCTGAAAATAGAGGTTTTTATGGATTAAACCGAACTTTAATGGATACAAGTTTATTTATTTAAGTCTGGCTAATTTTTTTTAGGATTGTTCAAATAAAGATCTAAAATTTTAAAAAGATAAAGTAAGGGTTTAAAGTTTCAATATATGTTCAAATAAGTGTCTAACAGTTCAAAGTGATTGAATTAAGTATTTTAACATTTTCAAATCTGTTCAAATAAACGCCTAAGCTCTTGAAAGTGTTTGCAGATAAAGACCCTCGTTTGAGTAAATTAGAAAGCAATACATCTTTATCTACATAAACTTGAAAATGTTGGACTTTTATTTTATTTTTTTTAAAAGATTAGACCCTTATATGAATAATTACCTTGAACTTGAAGCATCGGATCCACCAATATTTTGAGGTTGAAGCATCGGATACATCCACTCCATAAAATGAAGATTAGGGTCTTCTTGCCAATTCATTATCCTGTACATAGAAAATATTAATTACCATCGTAAGCTTAAGATTTAATCATTCATAAATCAAATTTTAAATCCGATATCAATTAAGATTTTTTATTAATTAACGGATTTAATTAAAATGATTAATATATATATATATATATATATATATATCTGCATGAAATATTGCACGTGCTTGTTGAATTAACACATCATCATTCACATAAAAATTATCTGTAGCGATGACTTGATTCAGTAGTGCTTGGAATCCAAAACCATGTGGCCTATATGGAAGAAAAAGTTAATGTTTTACTATATTCGAATCGAAAATGAGAAATAAAATTCTACGAAACGAAAATAACACGAATATTATACAAATACCCGAAATTTGTAGCAGGTTGATGTGTAGTTTTCTGAGAAAAATGCTGCCAATAATTAATCCAGTTTGTGCTGGCCAAAGAGGATCCACTCCAAATTCCTTGCGCCATCTATACAATTTGAACCATGTAAAAGGACTAAAATGTAAAAAAAATCATTATTTCCCAATGTATTATCGACTTCTTATTATTAATTAGTTTAAATAGATAATGATGTTAAATATTTATCGGATAATACTACACAAAGTTGACAAATCAAGATTTAAGAAGTGCCTATAAAAAAAATTAACGGTGATATTGATATGTCACGATAAGGTAATGTCATCTCATCATTTAAAAAAGTTTAAACAAATTCAATGTCAGAAGTTATGTTAATATTTTAACGACGGATGACCAAAATGAAATTAAAATGTAACGTTAGATATATTTTAAAACATATAAATAGTTGGGTGTCCAAAACAAAACAAAAGTGATAGTAATTATTTGGACTAACTAATAATATAGAGGGTAAAGTACATAAATGGCTTTCCACTATAGGGTGTTGTTTTGTTGAGTCATCAGACTATTAAAAGCTACAAAATAGTCTCCCGATTATAGGCGTTATTTTGTTAAGTCATTTGACTATTAAAAGTCACAAAATGGTCACCCGACTATTCATATGTTCCAAACTCGTTCTTTTTCGTTAAAAAATTGATGACAATCTTATCTGAACATTAACCTTTTGACTAAGATATGATAAAATATGATCCCCATAATCTCAAACGACTATCATATCTCAATCAGTTTGTTACTGTTCAGCTCAGATGACCGTTAAATTTTTAACAGAAAATAACGAGTTTGTAACGTATGAATAATTGAGTGACCATTTTGTAACTTTTAATACGATGAACTCAACAAAACAATACCCTATAATCGGGGACCATTTTGTAACTTTTAATATACAAGTATAGAAAAGAAATTAACCTGATGAAATTGAAAGGTAGAAGAGAAATCCAGACGGAACTCCGGTGGGAGATTTGTCGTCAGAAAAAGGTAGCCATTAGAGGCTTCAATGGTACTGTTCATCGCAATTTCAGTCGAGTTGTGAGCAGTAATCAATGAACTCCCATCAGCTGGTGTGTCCATTGCTTGAGGCCTAATTAATCATTAAAAATGTTATTAAATGTTTACGTAACTAAACATATCTCGATTTTACGATAAAATGAAGAGTTATAGGTGTTAAGATTTGAATTTAAAAGAATATCTACAAAAATAAATGACATACAAAAATGGAAGTTCAACAACATTGGCTTGCTCATGATTGAGTTGTTCATCTGCTCCAATGATTTCATCTGTGAATGACGACGAGGACGATGATGAAGAATTTCCTGTATATTCACTCTCCATTTTCATTTGCTGATATTGATACATAATCCTTCAATATTCGAATATATATATATATATATATATATATATATATATTAATTTTTAAAAAATAGTTTTAGAAAAATAAAAATAAAAATATACTAATCTTCTTATATTCTATAATTAAATTTATGTAAAATATTTTGAGATTAATAAAGTGGATGTATTAATATGAAAATGAATAAAATCACAAATGCAACACAATTTTCTTATTGTTTGGCAATAGAAAAAAAAATCTAAAATTGTAAAAATCTAAAAAGTTATTCGAACAAACCACTTTTTTTCTTACCACACTTTTCGACAAAGATTGCTGTTTGATTTTAGTTAATATGTAGAAATATATATATTTATATATATATATATATTGATAATTAAGAATGGGCTAATTATGGTAAAAAAAAAGCTATTCAGGATTTTGGAATAGGCTTAATTCGGAAAAATAGTGCTGGCTGGATTTTTATTTCCTTGTATTAATAAATTTATTACGACACGCCCATTGATTAAATATAAATTAATTTGACCGGTCCGTATTAGGGTTTAATCGAGTTTTAGTAGAGACAAAATTCCATTTTTTGGGCCTTATGACCCAAAACAAAAGTGTTCGGGTCAAATTCTTATCCATTACTATTTAATATAAATTTAATAATTATTCAACACTATTCACAAACATGATTTGAACGAATCGAGTGATCTCAGTGTAAAGGAATTGTTGTTGTTCTATGAGGTCTCGAGTTCGAGTACCAAGAATGCCA